TATCTTAAGTGCAACTCACACGTAATGTCAAGATGAAATAATGTTGCAATATTCGTCCATAAGTAAATGAATCCATACTTCATCATCAACCTCTTCGCTTAATGATGCACCAAATTTATTTCGCAGACTCTCTGAAGACTTGTGCATAAATATATTGATGATTAATGTTTACCAAAGTAGAATCAAGTGTGTTCGAGCTTGACTTTCCTCTCATTAGATCATTTTCGGAGAAAAAATTATTTCTGTTACGAAACTTATGATAATTCGTCACAATTCGTGACATTTACTATAATGATAGGGCCTAGTTTTCTCTATATTATGTGATGAATCCCAATGCTGATGAACTGGTCAATTGCTCGCGTTAGTTTACAATAGCTCATAATTTGGGAAAAATTTCATCGGAATCAGGGATATTTTGATCCGGAAAAGAACAGGCATCTTTCTGATCATGAAATTAAACTCAAGTCACAGTTCAGCATATTTCATCGGAAGAAAAATCTTTATTTGTGAAATCAATTCAATTCTGTATCATAGACCAGAGCCAAAGTCAATTGATAACACGTGAATTAACTATTATTCACTAAACACATCTCCACTTGTGTGTCATCTGATAGTGAGTTAACTCGTTGTTTCTATTATGAGACGATTGGTAAAAGTTTTAGACGAATTCGATCGATCCATCTTGGGTTCTGTTGAAGGTTCGCTAAATTTTAAGATCATCAACTGCACTAAGGAATAGTCTCGACAGTGGTATTGCATCAGTATCGATGACAGTCGAGAACAGCCTTGGCTCACAGCATTCCTCGTCAACGAGTGAGCCTTCAGTCACTGAATCAGATCAACAGCTATCAGTTGTATCGATCGCGAATTGCTCATCATCAGGCAGAGCAACATCCACAATAAGCCTCCCGCCCGAGGCGAAACGATCGAAAACATTGCTCACAAAACGGCAAAGTATACTCATCCAGAACAGTTGGAAAAGAGCACCGAAGGTATATTTTGTGGATTTTTATCACCACCTCAATTAATCCATTACTGATGAATCGTTAGAGGCTTAAATCTCTGATGATATTCCTTGCAAAGGATTCTGGCACATAAGGTTTACTACTAACTAGATAAAAATAGGCAATTCTCAATCAAAATTCTAGTAGATATCAGAAGCCTTAGTGTATCTAATGTTACACCTATCACGTTGATTGTCCCAGGATGTTGGGATTTTGTTCACAACACAATGAAAGTAAAGTTGAGCTTGAAAAGCGCTCAAACAATAGGATGTACATGGATCATGCAGTAGAATTTGATTGCAGTCTGGTGAGCACGTTGGCATAAAAATGTTTTTTAATGTTCTGATGGCG